AATCAAACTATTAAACTAATAGAATTCAAACAAGCACTGCAAGCAATGATCTTTGGAATTGAACTCCATAAGCGAGTAAATAACAAAGAGAGCAACTTTATTCATCTCCAAAGTCACGCCTAGAGACATTAGTCAAAGACGGGTGTTCAAGGCAGTAGAATAGTTTATGCAATATGATGTATTATACATTATTTGTTTTCTGTAAAGATTCAATAAACAGTACGCACTTGTTTGACTACAGGAAAAAAAAAAAAAATAGAATTCAAACAAGCCATAAGAATTCTAAAGATATAGGTTATGACAACAGATAGCAAAAAACATCAGTATGAACTAATCAAGCAAAAAATTAAAACAACAACATGGATTTTAAAAAGTGCCATAATTATAGACAAACAATACAGATATATTTTAAATCAGGTCATGATACCAGCTATAGAATATATGCTTCAAGATACAATCCTTTTGAATTAAGAACTTAATATTATAGATAGTCAAATTAGACAAACCTTTAAATACAAGATTAATATTTCATGCATAGCTCCAAATATTAGCATATATGTTTATATAAGATACAAATTATTTTATATAAAAGATAAACAATTTGAATTATATATCAAAAACTGGATAACAAATTTAAACAAAAATAACCTATACAGAGTACTAACTAAAAGCAAATTGCAATATTTATAAAATTGAATATGGATACCAAAAAACATACTTTAACTAGAAATAACAATTGACAAATTCAAAAAATATCTAACAAGTAAAATTCTACAGATGCTTAAGAAAAAGAACATTGTGATAGAACAAAATCAAAACCATAGCCTAATTAATACAAACAAACATATAATAACAAGGAATTGTATATAATTAAAGACATTATGGAACAAACATAAAGCAAAAAGAATACTAAAAATATTAGAAAACACAATCTGATATTTATTAAACAGATTACCAATATCTAACAAATACATATACTAAACTAAAAACAAATTAGAGCTGTTACAGAATATAAACTAATTAGAAAACAGTCAAGATGGTTTACTGAGATTAGAAAAAAATGTAGCCAACCAGATATTTTGAAAAACAAGTATATAATCATATTAACTAAATTAACAAAACCCAATTCAATCTCTCAGCTAGAAATAGTAAAAAGTTACAATATCCAAAAACAAAGATATCTGATATACTGTATATAATTGATTAACAAATATATCTTAGAAAAATAGACTGCAAATACAAAATAATAAATAACAAAGTTAGAATATAACACATATAACAAATAAAATGAGATTCACCTATAGCCAAATATCAAGAATGTGATTATAGAGACAATACAAAGAAGGGATGTACCAGAAAAATAAAATAGACTAGACAATAATTATTCCAGTAACCAAAACCATACACAGTGCAAAGCTTTATAGTCAGATTTTAAGACATTTTGACAGAATATAAATATCATCATGCACAATAATTCATAATATACAAAAGTTAAAAAACAAAACTCAAACCAAAGTTAGTATTGTAATTAGTGGAAAACAGACAGAAATGGAAAATAAATTTATAAAATATCTACAAACCAGCAGCTTAAACAAAAAAGAACTAATCAAGATAGTCAAACAAACTGAAAACTGAAGAAGAATAAAAATATATACAGATGGCTCAATAGTTTAGGGAACAATAAACCACATCAAGATAGGAATAGAATGGCATATAACCAATCAAGAAACAGGAGAGAAGTTAGTATATGCAAGATGTACAAGGCATTTTTTATTATAAACAAGGGCAGAATTAATAACAATTCTAATTATGCTAGTCATAATTTCAACACAAACAAAAGTTAAAATATATATAGACAGTCAAACAGCCATACAAGGAATTTAAAAAGGTGACAAAAGGAGTGGCCAAACATACAAAAGCACAAATTGAATAATAAAAATTCTGATTTAAAAAATTATTAAAAAAAAGTGATAACAAACAGTATTTACTAAAGTTAAAACATACCAGGAAGAAGAAAACAATAAAAAAGCAGATGATTGGCAAAAAAAGGGGCAAAAAAAAGATAAAGCAATTATAACAGCCAATTCAAAAGTAGCAGCATGGGGAACACTAAAATAGTAGATATATTAGTTAGATATAAGTATTAAGAAATTTCTGAAAAACATATAAAACATCAAATAAATGGCAAATCAAATAATACAAAGAAGAAACAGAGTATGGATTAAGTATAGATTAAGCTGCAAATAAACTGACATTTCACTTGAAAAACACAACACCAATTCAGAATAACTAAAATATATATAAATAAAAAGGATCACATATATAGAAAAATCAAGTACAAACTATTAAACAATAAATTTCCTATACTGGAAAGGCTAACAGAAAAAAGATTAAATATTTATAAATTGAACAAATGCTCAGAATGCAAGGAAATAGAAAGCCTAGATTACTTGATACACAAACCTTGGCAATACAAAATCATAGAAGAATACAAAAAAATAATAAAAAAAGAAATAGAAGAAAAGAAAAGAAACTGAAATAAAAGAAAAAAAAAAGAAAGCTTAAAACCAAAAATATCATTAATTACTAACTCAAAGAGCATAAAAAACCATATAGTGAAAGGGATTTTGATCAAAGAGATAATATAATATATATAGGTGATGGACCCATCATTAAATGACGGGTTAGGTTTTAATATTATAATAAAAATTTACAATTAATTTTGACTATTAAATTGACTTTATATAATATTATACTATTATATAAAAAAAAATTAAAATATAATAATTGTAATTTTATATAATTTATTATATCATTATCTATATTAGGAGCATGTCGAGATCCTGCTACTTTCCCATCTATCCAATATAATGTTTTGCATTCCGGACATTCAATACTCATACTTCCAATATTATGTAAAGATATAATCTTTGTATTATAATTCTCAATACAGTATGTGCTGTATTAGAGATATGATTTTTAGATTCTTTTTGTTTTTTTTTACGTAACTCAACTTGCTCAGTGATTTTCTTTGCAAGCACTTGTCTTTGGATATTTTGATGTTGTTCAGATTCATCAATGTTTTCTTTTGCAAGGCGACAAACATGGACTTCTCTTGCCAGACAGTTTCTATGTTTACGAAGACTTCCGAATTTTCAGCGACAGGTTTCTCATCAGAATGTGTCATACACCTTGCATATTGTTCTCGTCCTAGATGGTTTTTGTTCTCACAAAGGGCTTCGGTTGTGAATTGTTCAAATCGTGGATTTGAATTCATTTTTAAATTAGATCAATTAATTGAATAATCGCAAAAGGAAATTTTGATTTTTTTAAATAATAAATTTTAACTATCATCTAGAATTCTAATTATGATATAAAAGAATAGTCATGATAAAGGTAAAGAGAACAACTTTATACTTTTTATATAATAATTAATTTGCAATATTTATTCTTACTCATTAAACTTTAGCATTAAATATTAGAGTTAAAATCAAACTACAATTTTGATACATAATATTACGTTGCTATGAAATTAGACTTATTCTTACTTATTAGATTTTAGCAATAAACTTTATATTTAAAACTATCATCTAGAATTCTAACTACAATCTAATTATTTTTAAAAGTATAGTCACGATAAATGGTTCGCAAAAAAACTTTGGAGATATGTTATGTATAATAATTCGTTCACAATATTTTTTAATTATAGAATTTAAATTTTAAAATTGAACTGCAATTTCATACATAATAGTTATATCACAGCTTATTTAACTTTAGCATTAAACTTTAGATTTAAAATCGAACTGCAATTTTGATACTATACATAATATTACGTTACTACATAATTAGATTTATTTTTACTCATTAGACTTAGCATTAAACTTTTATCAATAATGCAATTAGACTTATCTTAACTTACCATTACTTATTAAACTATATAGTGTTAAACGTTACATATTAAAAAAAGTGATCAATCTGAGTATAGAATAAGTATCACATATTCTTTATCAGCCATATAATAATGTTTTGGTCTTTAAATCAATATTATATCTCAGTATGTTTTTTAATTTAATACGTATCATATAAGAATATACGCCACCTGTGCCACAGCTTGATTGATGTCGTCCAATTTTTTTAATATATAGATTTGTTGAGTAATTCATATCAAATGTATTTTAATTGATCAGGATTATATTCTTTACTTTACAAATGGTAAGTATATTTTTTTTAATATTTATCATATCAAAAATGTCTTAATTGAACCAAGTTATATTCTTTATCTTAAATCGATTACGGATAGTAAAATATTTTTGTTAATATTATTATATTAAGTATCTTAATTGAACTGATTTATATTCTTTACTTTAATAACAATTACAGACGGTACATACATTTTTATTAATATTATAGGTGTTAATCAAACTGAGTTATATTCTTATCTTAACAACGATTACAGATGGTGAAGTATTTTCGTTGGTATTACTGTAGTTGAGTAATTCATATAAAATATGTCTTAATTGATTGATGCTATATTCTTTACTTTATAGATGACAAACATATTTTCGATTATATTTGTTGAAATAAATTCCTATTAAAGATATTAATTGAACCGAGTTATATTATTCACTTTAAAAACGATTACAGATGGTAAACATACTTTCATTAATTTGTTGAATACAGTAGTTTATATTTGATTAATGTTATATTCTTTACATTATAGATATTAACAATAATATTTGTTGAAAAAGGTGTTAATTAAACCGGGTTACTATATATTATTCATTTTAAACATGATTACAGGCGGCAAGCATATTTCATTGATTTATTAAGTTATTTATATTGAACATGTCTTAAGAAATAATTGTATTATTTATATTAAAACGATTATAGGAATTAAGAATTTTTCATTAATATTGTTAAAGTAATTCGAGTCTTTTTTTAATCAAAACATCATCAAACGATAAGGACATTGATATAGCTCCTAATAACACACAATCACCTTATTCAGAAGGTTGAGGTCTAGTGATCATTGCCGGGCATTCAATCTTTATAGAAAATGATTTTGGTAAAATGGATCGGAATGAAGGGTGAATATTAGAGGAGTTTCTGAAAGTGGAAGAACATGTAAAAACATTTATAGTGCATATTAGAAGAGGAGTATAATTGGTAGTAGATAATAAAGAAGCTTTGTTAATATTTAGTAAGTTTTTTTGTTTTTTAAAAATTTATCAAATTACATTTGGTTTTAATCTGGCAGTCATTATATTTTCTAGAGGACAAACTAGGCTTTCCGTTGGTTTAAGAAGTGAGATGCAAAGTTATTGAGTAGATAAATAAAATTGTTTATTAATTATAGCAACAAGCTTATAAAAACTATTGATTCTTAGGAAATTTCATTTTCTCTTAATGTGTTTTCAAAAGACTATTTGAGTATAATCACAGAGTATGCTTGTGATTTATATGAAAATTTGCATCTCTATTTGTCGTTTTCCTGAATTTACAGGAAACTATCCAAAAATAATAACCAAATTGTAGAATTTCAATTTTAACAAAGATGATTTATCAAGTTACATCAAGATACTTTAAAGCTTCCAATAGAAAGGTATATTATTTACTTAGAAACTATACCTGGGTTTCTTTTTCTGATGTCCTCTCTAATCTCACTTAGATTTAATTATGTTGGAATGGATCTTGATAATAGAATTCGATGAGATATTTCTGTGATTTCTTACCCAATCGCTAGAAATTTTTTGTTAACTTTCTTTTTTTGTTTGATATTAGTATTCATTATATTGTTACTCAATAAAGTCTTTTATTAATTTCAAGAGGACTTGTATGGATGCTATGGAAAACTTCAACATGCTTGGCAATTCCGTTAATTTAGCTTCCCACTCCAAATACTCAGGAGTTAATGTTTTATTGGTCTCGGCCTGTGTATTCATGTTGTCGTTTTATATAATCTCACATCTCTTTAAATTTAATAATAACCAACAAAAAATAAATATATCTCAGAGATAAATGATGTGATAAGAGAAATGGATGTCGACACACATTAACAATATATTCTTACCATTTATTTGAGCGATACAATCACGAGAAGGTGAGATTATGCCATTACCTCAATTTTAATTCCACGCTGTTCACATTTAATATAATAGGATCTGATTTCTTATCTACCTTCTATACCATTTTCATCATCATGTTCTAACTTGCATAGCGGACATAAAGATCCATCGGTAATTCCATAATAATCGCCATTTCCATCACTACCTTCTCGACATAAATTAGGATATTGTTTTAATGTTTATTATGGAAATAAGCATGATCACGAGTTGGATTAGAGGATACACTTTCGGGATTGTTTTTTGGGGAAATGTGAGATTCGATAGGTATGCCCATCTCAGTCTCCAGCGATGATTTGACTTTCTCGCTTATTCTCATCTCTCAAATTAGATGTATATGATGTCCGTATAGAGGGAGTAGTTGTAATACTTACCTTGGTTTCTGGTAAAACTTGATCGTTTCCTTGGGAAACGGTTTTTGAAGTTACTTGATTTATAATATTTTGAATTTGTGTATTGGTTAATTTTTAAATATCATTTGCACTACAGGTAACATACTTAACTTTGTCAATTCCGACTCCGTTTTCCCCAAATAGCTTACGAATTTTTCTAGCCCTAAGAGTCTTAATTCGCAAGGCAACTGATGTAACACCCGGTAGATGTTCTAACATCTCTTTGTATATTTGAGTTCTTACAGTTTTATCGCTAACTCCTGTCTTATGTCAAATTTCGATAACTTTATTCTCAAAATTATCTGAATAGTGAATCCAGGATAAGATTTCTTCATGTCCAGATCGTATGGCTTTTCTAAACAAATTGATTAAGCTTTGTGTTGTGATTTTAGATGATGATTTTTCATTATTCACGATATCTTCGGGAGGTGTATCTATGGGATCCGGTATAGCAATAAGCATATCATTCTGTAAATCTCGTATTAAATCTAATTCTATATTTTGATTTATAGTAAGCTCAATTTCATCAGAATCATCAAGCTCCTCCGCTGGTAAAGCAATATTTGTGGTTGTTTTTTGTTGATCGTTTCCTTGGGAAACGGTTTTTATATCACACGATGAATTATCTTTATCATATGATAAAGAGTTTTGTTCCCGAAGTTTTTTCTCCCTAATTCTCTTCATTGTCTCTTTACTGACCTGTTCCTAATAATCCCTTTCTACAAAATCTAGGGTCTCAGCTGAATCGACATCGATAATGTCTCGTGGCAAAGAGGTTGCAGATGTTTTAGATTCAGATCTTGTCGAGATATGTTCTAGTTCGGGTAAACAATTAGGAGTAATGTCTTCCTCCTTATCAGATTGACCCTCAATAGGTGTTGGAATGGATAATAACCCTTTAGACTTATCACTTATTTCGGAAGAAATATCTCTTGTAGATGCTTTCAGTTCATTAGTAATGACCTGGGTTTGTTTCTGTTCCAATTTCGTGACTTTGTCTTTAAGTTCAGTATTCTCAACAATAAGGTTAGCAGTATCCGTTTTATTTTTTTTCTCCAGCTCTTCAAACCTAGTTTTAAGCTCAGTATTCTCTTCTATAACCCGTCTTAGCTTCATGTTCTCAACCTCAACCTCAGTATATTTCTAAGTTCAGTAATCTCGGATACAAGCTTGGAATTCTGTTCTTCCAATAAATCAATTTTAGACTGTGTATTTACCATTGTTTTATACAAGATATGTATATGTTCAAAAGTTTAGATTAATAAAAATCATGTACTATTGAAAACCGTTTCCCAGGGAAACGATGAGAAAATTTTGCTAAGAAAATTCAAATAAAAAAATAATCACGATTGATATATTTACTGTATATGTGAAATCTTTATTTAACCAATAATGATCGGTGATATATTTACATTAAAAAAATCGTGATAAATTTTTACTAGATAACTACATTATCGCTTCGCTATACTATTCGGAATCAGATACCGGATATTCTGCATTCCATCCACGTCGGGCATGCAAATAATTAATAATTAGTATAGACACTGTGACTGCAATATATGGTACAACATAATTAAATACTTACCAATGTTTTCTCGTCTCTTATCACAAGCTTTATCCGGTATATCAGTTTGCCATTTTTTCAGTGTAGAAAGATGAATTCGAGAGTTCAAACCTTCCGCATATTTTAAGTCTTGAGTGATTGGTTCTGAAATAACTTTGCCTTTTGAATATCTTTTTATTCCATTCTTAAGATCATCGTAAATCCTATGTACGAAATATACTATGTTATGGTGGATACCTTTAGTGACTATAAAGTTTCCATGAAGTGATAAACGCAAAGAAAATAATATAACCTGTCCAGGCCGAAGTGGAACAACTATTTTAAGTTGAGGGAAACAAAGTACACCTCCCTCAAAATCTCCCAATACGACCAAGCAACGGAAACTATTCGGTTCATCATTTTCGTCCCAATGGTAGTCACTTATAGTATTATAGTTAATTGCTATCATCGGAAAAACTCCAAATGATTGAGAAGCAAATGCATCCCATATAGATTACCATAATACTTTTTAAGAAATCGATTAATAGAATTAGATAGTGGGTAGAGGTCACAAATCAATTTATGCATGCACTCTTGATGATTGGAATTATGGCTACTTGCCATATTAGAACTTGTATATGGAAAAGGATTGTTGAGAGTAAATGCACCAAAATGTCTATAAAGTTTTTCCAAAAACCTTCACTTCTATGCGATTTGTGCTCTAATGTGTGGTAATAATAAAAATTAACGCTTTCGGTTGTTTTTATTACTGCCCCAAAATCATCTACTAATCCTAGGTGAAGCAGGGTCTGGCTATTAACATCGACGACACATTGGATTTATTAAGCAACGGAACCCAGTTATTTCTGTAGGAGATCGCTATTTACAAATCATTCAGATCTTTTCTTTTTCTGTAATACGTGGTGAACCTGGATTAAAAATATTTGCCATGATATTCATAACCGGAAATTCATTTTTACTTTGAAAATCCAACGTATGTCGTAATCTTTGCCATCCTAACCAGAGATGTTGTCTCACTTCCCTTCTTTTTATTTTCCCTTTAAAGCCTAGCCAAACACCGAATGAAATCCACAAGCTTTTATCCAATTCTAGCGATACCATCGATAATGTCTCTATTCACCAATGCGGAAAATTCAGAAGTAATCTCAAATGAATTATACACATCATTTTTAGTGACCTTCGCTTCTCTAATAAGGGTCTCGATTATTATAACTCTCGTAGAAATTTCATGCCGGAACTTATTTTTTGAAGTCGATACACGATCCAATGGGAGAATAGGTACACTTTTCCATTCATTTTTCAAATAATTTACTTTATCTTGTGTGCATAGTCCTCGGGTGGCATTCTGAGTTCGATGCTAGGAATATTACCAATAAGATGTTAGAATGTATTATTAATGTATTATTTTTAGATTCTTCAAAGGATACATTATCTATAATATACTGGATTTTCTTTTTTGTTAATTTAGATATACTGTCAGCAGAAAAGGAATGAATGCGATAAATTTTATCCATACCTATTGCATCAAAAAGTTTATAAAGCTTCTTTGCTTTTTTGATTCTCTTACGTAAAAGGCTATCAGAAGTGTCTGCTTTTACTTCTTTATTTAAAATTCTACTAACAGTATTGGATTCTGGATCAACTTGTCTTTCCGATGCTATTTCATTACGTCTCTGAATAATAGCCTTTCCAAATAGGCAATAACACGCGATAGCTTCTTGGGTTTTACGATCACAAAGTTTTTCATATAAAAGTGTAAAGTTAGTATTGCTGGGTTGAAATTTTGGTTTATTCGGGGTTGTAGAAGTCACGTCCCGTTTGTTAGTGATAACCTGGATCCGTTTTTGTTCTAATTTGATAGCTCTGTCTTTAAACTCAACATTTTCAGCAATAAGGTTTGCAGTATCCGTTTTATTATTTTTCTCTAACTCTTCCAACCTGGTTTTGAGATCAGTGTTCTCTTCTATGACCTGTCTCAACTTACGTTCTCAGCCTCGAACTCAGTTCTATTCTTCTAATAAATCGATTTTAGATGAATCTTTAGATTCGCCTCTTTTGGCCTGTGTGTTTACCATTGTTTTATATAAGATAGAGAAATATTAAAAAGCTTAAGTTAATAAATTGCATTATTACTTGAAAGAAATCATCAATCACTTCGTGAACTCGGTTTACAAAGAATTCACTTTGCCAAAAAAAAATTAGATAAAATTCTCGATCATATATACATAATCCCGAAAATACACAAGCGACTATGTGTGCAAAATCTCCAGGGCTTCCTATACTCGCTTTTTTAATCAACAGTGATGTGGCCCGTGATGGACCGTGATCCATATATTTGCATTTAAAAATCAATATTCTTATCTGTGATTGACGCGATAGATTAGGTACATAAAGGAAAATATGAATTAAACATCTTTATTATAAGTCGAAGACCTCTACATTGTAACATACACATAGTATTTATTAAACCACAGATTTGGAAGTCTGAAAAAAAGAGACTTTTTTTGTCGAGGTAGAAACAACCATTATAACATTTGCCGACACTCCCCTTCTTCGATCGGATGGTGCTTTGGTTCGTCGAGTAATTTATCCTTAGACATCATTAAAATGTTGCCGAGAAATTAATTCCTAATAATATCTCCATTTAAATTTCTATCAATCTTAGCCCCAGAATCATGAAACGAAAAATCGGCTTTGCTTGACATCCATTTTTGACTGTTAAATATTGCAATTACATGAATCGAGTCAGAATGCGAGAAATCGTATGAAGGCCCTTTTTGAAATAAAATTCACTAATATACTCGTTGGTATTTTCGTTTTTATATTCGCGTCTCTAATACTTTTAAATGGTCTTCCTAATATGTTTTTTTTCGCTCGTTTTTTACCAATTTGATTCACTCTACAGAGTTGATCAAGAGAAGCGGTATTGATGTTCACCTTAGGAATATTCTTGACTTTATCGGGTTTGGACTCGGACATAGCGGACCTGTATGCTCTGTCAGCAAATGGTCCAAAATAGTCCCTAAAAACTTTTCCATCTACAATCCCAGACCTTTTCGGAAGTTTAATAACGCTGTTATCTGCTGTCGTAAAGAGGATAAAAAAATCATTTTCCGATGCCAATTTTTTATGTTCTTGTTCGAATGCCTCTTGACTGATCGGTTTTTGAGTCAGTTTGTATTGGTGAATTTCGTTTGGGCTCTCGGCACCCGGCTGATCTAATGAAAGGAAGGCATCATCATATGGCGAACCTGGAGCGTTAATAATACAATGTTTGAATTGCCGGACATCAACGGTAATATTACTGCAATCCACATTCCATTCACTTGTAGTGAGATTTTTAGACTTTGTGTCTGTTTGGTGTCTAGCAATCTTAAGTTGTAGATTGTGGTTTTTAAATTGGATATCACCAATCAAACGCGCTCCCGCGTGAACCTCTAAGATCGTTGTTAGCTCATCTTCTTCGATCACGGCTGACTTTATACAACGAAATGACGCGACAAAATTTTCAAAACTCTGCCATGACTTAGCTTTCAATGATAACACAGGATTCAGAAATGCTTTTTGCTCTCCATAATCAGC